GAGAAGGAAGACCAACCTGAATGTGGCATGGATTGACTACAAAAAGGCATTTGACTCTCTGCCACATGACTGGATAATCAAGTGCCTAGAAATAACAGGAGTCAGTAGAAACATCAGAAAATTTGTGCAAAGATTGATGGCACAATGGAAGACACAGTTGCAGATCAATGGTGAGAGACTGGGAGAGGTTAATATCAAGAGAGGAATATTTCAAGGAGATTCATTATCACCATTACTATTTGTTATTGCACTGTTTCCTCTGTCAACAATACTGAATAACTCAGGACATGGCTATCAAACATCAAAAACATCTGCCAGACTATCCCATCTCCTTTACATGGATGATCTGAAGCTGTATGGAAAAACATCATCTGAAATAGAATCGCTGCTCAACACTGTCCGTACATATAGCCAAGATATTGTAATGGAGTTTGGCTTGGACAAATGTGCCACACTTACTATCAAACAAGGAAAAATAGTGAAAACTGAAGGAATCAAGATGCCCCACGAAAATAACATTAAGAGTCTGGATGAGGAAGAGTACTACAAATACTTGGGTATCCTTCAAGCTGACAACATCAAGCACACTGAAGTCAAGAAAAAGATTAGAGGTGAATACATCAAGAGAGTGAAGAAGATCTTAAAGTCCAAACTCAATGGAGGAAATACCATAAAGGCAATCAACACCTGGGCAATCCCAGTCATTAGGTACACAGCTGGAATAGTGGACTGGACTCAAGCAGAACTAAAAGCAATGGATAGGAAGACCAGAAAAATAATGACAATGAATCATGCCCTTCATCCACGCAGTGATATTGACAGACTTTATCTACCAAGGCAAATAGGTGGGCGTGGAATGCTACAAGTACATCAGATGGTTGAAGAAGAAAAAATGGCTTTGGAAGAATATCTGAAGAACAATGATGAAGATGCACTGAAATTAGTATATCAGGAAGGCTTACTGACTACTGGAGAGACCAAACTGGCCTACAAGAAAGACCAAATGAAGAACAGAATAGAGGCATGGGAAGACAAAGCACTACATGGCCAGTACATTAAAAAAAATAGCTGCGAAAGCAGATAATAACAAGACCTGGCAATGACTAAGAGCAGGAAAATTGAAGAGACCGAGGGACTAATTCTGGCTGCACAAGGCCAAGCCTTAAGGACAAACGCATATAAAGTCAAAATTGAGAAGACAGCAACAGACAGTAAGTGCCGCCTATGCAAAGAAGCTGAAGAAACAGTTGACCACCTGGTAAGCTGTTGCAAGAAGATTACACAGACTGACTACAAGCAGCGGCATGACAAAGTAGCAACAATGGTGCATTGGAAGATCTGCAAAAAATATCATTTGCCTGTAAGCAAAAACTGGTGGGATCATAAAATAGAGAAAGTCATAGAAAATGATAAAATTAAACTGCTCTGGGACTTCAGAATTCAAACAGACAAGCACCTGCAACATAACACCCCAGACTTAACAATTGTCGATAAGAAAGACAAAAAAGTCTGGATAGTGGACGTGGCAGTGCCTGGAGACAGCAGAATAGACAAGAAAGAACTGGAGAAGATAACAAAATACAAAGACCTACAAATAGAAATAGAAAGACTGTGGCAAAAGCAAGCAAGGGTAGTACCAAATACTAATAATACTAATAATAATACTAATAACAATAATAATAATAATAAAGTTGGAAGGGACCTTGGAGGTCATCGAGTCGAACCGCTGCTCAGGCAGGAGCCCTACACCATTTCGGACAAATGGCTGTCCAGTCTCCTCTTAAAACTTCCAGTATTGGAGCATTCACCGCTTCTGAAGGCAGGTTGTTCCATTGGTTAATTGTTCTAACTGTCAGGAAGTTTCTCCTTAGTTCTAAGTTGCTTCTCTCCTTGATCAGTTTCCATCGATTGCTTCTTGTCCTGCCTTCAGGCGCCTTGGAAAATAGCTTGACTCCCTCTTCTTTGTGGCAGCCCCTGAGATATTGGAACACTGCTATCATGTTCCCCCTCGTCCTTCTCTTCGTTAAACTAGACATACCCAATTCCAGCAACCGTTCCTTATATGTTTTAGCCTCCAGTCCCCTAATCATCTTTGTTGCTCTTCTCTGTACTCTTTCTAAAATCTCTAGAATTTTTTACATCGTGGTGAACAAAACTGGATGCAGTATTCCAAGTGTGGCCTTACCAAGGCATTGTACAGTGGTATTAATACTTCACGAGATCTTGATTCTATCCCTCTGTTAATGCAGCCCAGCACTGTGTTGGCTTTTTTGGTAGCTGCAGCACACTGTAATGAGCCACTACAGAGTTCCTCTGCTAAAACATGGGCAGATTTTGGAAACTGCTAGATTATAAGTAAAGTATGTGTTTCTGTGAGCAGAAGATCAGCTGCGTGACACTTGGAAGTTTCCCTGTATTTCAAATTCCCTCAGCTCTGAAGTCAAGGAAATAAGTGGAAGAACTACTAAAGAACTCCTTATCTGCTGGGCTGATCAGTCTTCTTTTAGCACACTGTGCAACCAATCACCTCACAGCATTAACTTAACTGTAACTTACTTGCAAAATACCTGTTTGTCCTTGGCATTTTGATTATCAATATCATATATGGCAAGTTTAAAAAAGGCTGATGCATGACATCTAATAACAAGGTAAGGAAAAAAATTAGGCCAATGAGCACATCAAGAATATTGACAGCACTCTTTTACAAATATTCACAGAAAATGGCTGTCACGAGAAGGGTCATAAGCAGACAGAGAAGTAACCTTTTGAAGTTAGCTTTGTTTACAAGATGTGTGTTTGTAATGCACTTTAAGGCCTTTTTTTAGTGGGCAATGATCTGGTATAAGATAGAGGAGCAAGGAAACAGTGAGGAACACTGGGTATTCTGATGCTAATGAATAAGATTTAGCCATGCAGTAGATATTAGAGATGTGCAACCTACAGGTGAATGCTGCTTTTATTTTTGTCTCAAGCAGCAAAAAGTCTGGAATTAAAGCAGTACATATATTAATGCAGTGATTTTCAAATCTGACAACTTAAAAATGTATGGCCTTCAGCTCCCAGCATTCCCCACCATCCCTCCAACCCTTAAATGTGCAAATTTAATAAGACTCTCTCATTTTTTTTGTCACCAATATTCTCTTTCATGCACACTTGCCTCATCTAATTATTCAGAACCAGATATATGAGGATGTCATTACTCTAATTCAGAGTGTAAGTCTCGCTTTCTGTTATTACTATTAGTTAGCCATTTTAAAAAAATGAGAAACTACTGCCTCTATAATAGCCTCCCCCTGGTGCAGAAAGGCATTAACAGTCTCATGGATCCAGGTGGTCATTTCTCCACCTTTACAGGAAAGGTGGTCAGGGATCCAATCTACACATGTCAGAGGACAATCTAACCCCTTCCTTGGAGGTCATGGGCCAAAAGGAGTCTCAGATAATAGTCTTCTGTCAATATTTTAGCAAATCTGAGCAACTTTGCCAGCAAAAATGCTATGTAATAAGTGGATCACAATGGTTGGGTGGGAGATACAAAGTCACTGGATAACACCTCACGAACACAGTAAGAGAGAAGTGAGCCTGGTTTGCCTCCTGCATCACATAGTGTAGGCTCAAGTATGAGCATATACCTGTGCTTGATTGGATTCATTTTTAGTCTTCTTCCACCAGGGCTCCAGGCATTGTTTCAAGTGTTTCATTTTCCAGTACACCACAATAAAGCATTATGTCAATCTGAACTGTCATCCAAAAATAAAGTTGTATAGAGACAAAAGAGTCCAGTGCCTAACTTGCTTCGAGTTGTCAAGTTCTGAACCAGATCACCTACTAAGGAGCCGGTAAACTCCCCAAGAACTCCAAGCTGTTCCTGCTGTCCTATGGAAGTCATCAGTGACTTTCCCTCAAAACTAAAACAATTTGGGATCTGAACATGACAATAGGGTAGCTTATAAAAGAAATATATCAGTGAATTGGTAAAATGAGAATTAAGAAATTCCTTTACAATATTAATATGAACACTGCACTTGCTACCATTTTATTTATTTATTTTATATAATTTCAAGTAAGTCTTAATTCCTGGCAACTGCCTGAACAAATCCTTGCTGTTTTCTTGTTAAGATTTTCAGAAGTCGTTTGTCACTGTCTTCTTCCTAAAGCTGAGAAAGAGTGACTGTTCCAAGGTCACCCATCTGGCTTTGTACCTAAAGCAGGACTAGAATTCACAGTCTTCTGATTTCTAACCCACTGCCTTTAACTGCTCAGTATCACAAATTTTATTATTTACTATTAAAATAAGATTCTGCCCTTTTTCAGATTGTTTGATTGATAGGAAGTTGGATAGAATTCTGACTCAGGCAAAATAAAGTTGAATCAGAAAAATATGAAACAATAGAAAATGTCAGATCAAGAATGAGAAAACAAATTATATTGGTGCTTAATGCTAAATCCAGCGCATTATTTCTAATTCCTATAATTCTTCCACTATTGGCAGGAAGATCTGAGTCCACAGGAACTGTTTCATTTAAAGTTCTGCAAAACTCATTATTTGTTAGGACTGAACAGGATGAAGATACAGCATTTTGTTTTTCTTTGCCAGCTATTACACAAGAATGAACTATATGTATTTGCCCTAGTTTCTGGATTACTATAGATCTATTACTGATTTAGAGGATAAGTAAATTTATACATCCAGTGACTCTCTTGGCATATCCATCAAAACATTTGAAATGCTCCTAGCTCTCTTCTCTGATCTCAAAGTTTTGACTGGGAGAGAATTCTCTTATACCTCCAATAACTGCACAGTGATTAAATGTATGCCAAAACCTCTGGGAAGACATATCAGGGGTCATAAAAGAACAACCTTACTCATAAAAACCAATATTTTAATTTTTTTAAAAAAAATCACATATTCAGCTGTTAGTTACCAAATGTACAGTTTTTGAATGGAGATAAATCAGTTGATGGAGATATATATTTGCTTAGTTCAGAGTCATACTTGCCTGCAGAGTTCTGTCCCAACATTCACAAGTTCTTGGCTGGAAAGGTGAGCTCCAGTTTTGTGGAGTAACTCAATCACTTTGTGATTCCTTTAGAAAAGAGGGGAAGAAGAAAGTTTTATTCTTCATCCTATTTGTGCTTTAATAAGAGCATCTAAACCACCTTCAATCCGTTGATAAGCAGGATTTCCCACGCTGGATTTCCTTACAATGGGACCCTGCAAATCACATCTAACTAAATATAACTAAAGGGAAAACTAAAGGGAAAAAATTGAAAACTGTGCTGGGAGGGCACCTTCTTGGATTTCTGAAGGTCATGGTGACTAATGGCTGTTTCCCCAACCACCTGGACCAGAAGATCAGATGAGCACTCTTGTGTTGTGATTTTTATGATTGGAATGTATTGTTTACTTATAACTACTGTTTATTTATAACTATTGTTGCTTATAATTATAGGCAACTATTGTTGCTTATAACTATTGTTTTAATCTTTGTTGGCTGCCCTGTTATGACATTAGGAGCCATATCAATCTATATAAATAAAATAAGAATTCTGGGAGTTGCAGTCCCAGTACCACTGGGAGGCTAATTTACATCCATGCCTCCACGTTAAACTGCCACAACCCAACTGAGAATTTTCAACTCAAAATATCCAGGTTTCAATCACCATTAATCTAAAAACAGCATCAAAGTTGCTCACAGAGATACATGACCAGTGCAAACCCAAAACACTTTGCTGAAAGATTATGTGGTATTTAATACCATATTTCCACATATCATCAAGAACAATTCTTCAAAAGATGTTATAGTCCAAACAGGAATCAAGTCCTGTTTTCTTGTATCACCCAGACTTTAGTAGTTTTGCACCCTTTATTCTTCTGGCTACTTCTGTTATGTACTAAAGTCATCTTCATTTTTATCTTCACAGTCTGCCTTATTACACACATCACCATTTCTTCCAACTATAACTTGTTCTCAATTATTTGTTACAGCCTCCCCTGCGGGCTCTGCAACAATTTGGATGCAATTCCTAAAAGATGTACAATCATAGCACCTGTTTGCAAAGCAACCACATCTCTTCCCATGGTCCTGTGACAGTTGCAGAGATCAGGGTATGATCCCAGAAGAACATGTGGATGTTTTAAAGGTTTGGAAACAGATGCTACGTTCCCACTCTTGCATGTTGCAATATCTTTTTTGGTAGCAGTCCAAAGCAATGGATAAGTCACCTCAGACGTTTAAAAAAAAATCACAAAAATTAAATTAGCCCATATAATTGATCAGTGATGTGGGAGAAAAAGCTAGATAAATTAAGAAGCTGGAGGAAGAGAAAGAAAATATAGCAGAGAGCCAACATTAATACAGTAAATATTTGTATGGAAATGCTACCATAATTCAGAGACTATTTCCATGCTCATGAATAAGACTATTTCAACTCAGCTCTTCCTTAGAAACTGCTGAAACAAAGTCATTGCTGCCTGCTTAGACTGCCAGTTGTTTTCCAATGGCTCATGGGCCAAAGCATTTCAGTGCCAATCCTATTTTGAATAGGATTTGAAAGCTGGAGGACACTTCCAGCTTTTGAACTTTTCAATCAATATTAACAAAACTAAAAATAATAAATCACAAATCAAAATAGAGCATCCCTCCCCTCCCCAATTAGGCATCATTGAATATTTTTAATTCTAAAAATTAGCAAGCATTTCATTTTGTTAAAACTACCATTTGTGGCTTGAGAACCATGCTAAGTGATCTCCCATGCATATACCAACTCTCTTTCTTCCACACTTTTCCACTCATCAAAGAGACCCTTGAAAAATACTTCAGACATAGGTTTGGGCTTTTTCGTGAGCAAGGTAATCTAGTGGCCCACTCCTAAAGATGATATAACACCTACATTTCTGTCTAAAAGTAGGACCAAATCTCTGAAGAATGAAACAGGGATTCCTTCTGTATCTCAAGTAGATTAGGAAGCAAATCGCAAGATACCAGTCACATGTTTTCAGGGATAAAAAAGTTTAAAGCACCTTCCACCTAACTTAGGTTATTAGATATGTATCTAAGGCAGGAACTGGATTTTTTTTCTTAAGATTTATTGTTTCTCAATAAGCTACACACATTTTTTTTGAAAAATATTTTTGCATTTCATTTATTGTACTATTAAAATCACACTATCAAAGCAATTGCCCTTCTCCCGCAAAGCAGTATTATTAAGTCCTCATTGCTCAGCACAGATGTATTATTAACTATAGCAATTACAGATTACGTTTGCGTATTATCTTAAACACTTTATTTCAAATATTCCATGAGAAACAAAATATCACCTTAAATATTTTCCCCTTTTTCGGTTAGTAGGTAACTTTTCAAATGTACCATTTATATGAATAAATGTTTGTGGAAATTGAAGATAACCTATGCATGAATTAGGTCATACCATTTTGGGGGAGGGTAGAAGCAAGAGAATTGTGAATCACACTAAACTGCAGGAGTCCTCTTTGTGGGTTCCTAGGTACTTGGAATAAAATTCTCTGAATTTCATCCAGGTGTAAATCCTAGTGAGTGCCACAAGATTTTTTCCTGAGGAAACATCCATATGATTTTTTGCACTGTCAGTTCTTAATGCCTCAAATTGCACAGGCTCATAGGCGCCTTTCTGTACCATCAAGTTACTTTGTAATGCACATGCATAGCTGAAGACAATGTGGAACCGCTGATTACACTCCTTGAGTATCCGAAAACTCTTTTGAAGACATCAAGGGCTACAAATAACTTGTTTAATATTCAAATTAAAATCAGAAGCAGACAGACAACTCACCTGACACAGAAATGTCTAATGACTGGGTGGAATTCTTACTGAGTTGCAGATAATTACTATATACAGGTAAGTCAGTGCCTTGAATAGGTAAACTGCAAGCTCTGTCTCATTCTTTGTAACACAAATGCTGAATTTTCTGAGGTAATCACAATATGTCCCATTGATTTCAGCACGTGTTCTTGGCCTAGATCCTGGATTATTTCAGATGACAACTAGTAGGCAGGGCTTTAGGCAAAATATCAACTTCAGTCTCAGCTTCTCATTTACATTATGGGACTGAACAGAAAAAGTAAAGTAAAAAGTAAAGGCCCACTTGGGTTTAGCCCACAAATGGGAGGTTGTTGGAAGCCCCTGGATGTTGCTCCTCAGAGCAGAATAAAAATAGAACAGAGATACTTTACATTAGTCATAGATTGATCCACTTAAGAAGTGCTATCGGAAATCCTTCTCACTCAGTAAGCCAGAGAATAAATCAGAAATCTTTTACATGCAAAGCTATAACCCCACCTTAAACACTCCAAAGCATTATTATACATGATAAAGATGATTATAGTTATTATGCTGTGAGCAAGTATGAAGATTTCCTAATGCTGACAGCTGACATTCTTATTTTTACATTTTTTTTTTTTTGCAGGCTTACTTGGAAATGCAAGCAAATCTTTATAGGAATGAGAATAGCAAGGATATTTCCTTTCCTTCAGGAATTTAAAGACATGCAAATGTTAAACCGAGGCTTCAACATGATGGACTTTATTTAATTCTTTAATTTTGTTCTCTGGTAAGAAATAATGAATTGACCTTTTACATAGTCTTGACAAAGTTCAAACACAGGAAGCAACAGAGCAAGAAAACTCTGCCCTTAAAAGAGCCAGAACAAGATGCCTATTTGCAGATGACTAATAGCTTTACCATTTTTCTTTGCCCAGTTAGGGTTAAGAAATCATAGAAGGCATAAATATTGTCAGATGTTAACCTGAACTTTTTTTACTAGGTATTATGCCTGAAAAGACTAATAAGCAGAAATTATATTTAATCTTACACATCACCACAGCAGTGAGAATAATATTTGCACAATACTGGAAGAATGAAGGATTGCCATCAGAAGAAGAAATAATCAGGAAAATATTGGAATGTGCAGAGATGGACAGATTAACTATGAGGTTGAAAGATAAAGAAGATACAGACTATTATCAAACTTGGGACCTATTTTATTGTTGGCTAGAGGAAAGAATGAAGCATTAGGAATTGAACATGCATTAGCATAGCAAACTCCAGACAACTCATTGATTGGAAAAATTAACATATGTTTATGGGGAAAAAACCAATAAAATTTTTATAAAAAAATATTGTCAGATGTTTATTTTGCTTCCCCATAAAATATCCAACATTTCAAACAGGAATATTGATGTTTAAGGCCCACACAAGCTGTTTCTATCACACTTATGAACACAAAAAGCAATACATAGTTGTACCTTAAATCTCATGATTCCTTTTTATTACTAAAGTTTATTTATTTACTTATTTGAGACGAAAATGTGGTGGGAAATTGAACACAAAATAAACATGCTTTACGAGTGACTGGGCACATATGTGGGGCTGCATATTAGTATGCAAGTAATTTTCTCTCACATAAAGTCTTAAAACTATCAGAACACTTCTGCTGAATGAAAGCAACATCTCTGTACAACATTATTTTTGCTTCAGTTGCAGTAATAATATGTAATGCTACCAGGTTTAAATCATCCCCTGCCATTTTAAGATTTGCTGCAAAGTCTTCCAGCATAAAGGAGCCTAAAGCAATCATTCCAGACTCTACAAAATGATGACTAGTAAGTCCCTTCTAACAAGAGCATAATCTTGAACCCAAATGCATTCTGTTTTTCCAGTCCCCCTTTTGGCAGCTTTCAAAAGATCAAGCTCCCTTTCTTATGGGAGTGGTAAAGCAAAAGAATCTGAATAACAAACTCATGTGAAATTCCTCAGGCAGCCCTGGGTGTGGTTAAAACACACACATAGGAACATTGCTGTTACTTTAAAGAACATTTTGCACAGGCATGCTGAGCAAGTGCTACCTTTGCTCAGTTGCAAGTGTTTTTCACTTGCACTAGAAATTCTTAGGAAATTCCTCTCCTGTGTTCTGGTATTTGTAGGACCTGATTAGCCATCATATGGTCCCAGATCATTTGGAACAGATGCCAAATATCTTAGGAAAATACTAAGCCAAGAGTGTGAGGTACTGACCAGTTTTAGCCATGTGGACTGGTGATGATGGAAATTGTTATCCAACAATTCTGGAACTCATCAGAAACCTACACTACAGCAGGCATTTTTCTTAATCCTTAAAGAGAAAGCTTTACTAGTGAGTGTTGTACAAGGATGAGCCACGGGGAAAGCTGCTATAAGCAAACATTTAGATCTCTTGCATCAAACTCTTTCCATAGATGTGAAGAGGTATGCTCTGCATACACATACTTAATTTTAATAAATGGTTTATATAGAAATATATACAGTATCTGCAAAAACTAGACTTTCTTGTTCAATTGCTAGGATAGAGACAATGAAATAAATAGTTAAGACAATTAGAATTAAAAGGAGAAAAAATAGATTGTAGTTTACATAGAGGGGCATAACATGTACAGAGTGCTAAAATCCATTAAAATGCTCAGAAAAAGTCCCTTCCTGATTTTGAGTTAGCAAAAATTTGTTGCACCTGTCAAGTAATAGTTGCAGGTGTTAGTCAAGCCAGGAAAAGATATAGTTACTTTAAAGAACAGCATATACATACTATGTTCATTTGCATGCACACTCTAAAATATATTTTTGAAATTGATTTCAAAGTTATAAACAGCTTCTGATGAGTGAAATTCCATACAGCAATGTATTTGCCAAAACATCATCCCAATAGACACTAAACATTTTTTCACCACATAGAAACTAATAATGAACATATGAAGTCTCTTTACTCGTTGTGTTCCTCTCCTCTATAGCAATAGCAATACATACAATGCGTAACAAAACCGAAGAGTAAACAAGAACAATCAGGGCTTTATATTTACTGATCTTTTACTATACTATCCTATTAGAAAGTTTTCCGTCTTTATTGCTTGGGTTACGGCACACGACTAAAAACATCTCTTTCATTTCCAACCATGAAAGTTGATTTGGAAAAGACAAGTTTTGTAAAGGAATAAACTGTGGTTGAGAACAGCCCTTTAGCATTTAATACTTATCTGTCCCCAAACCAGTAAATAACAATAAAACTGGGCTTCAATTCATTCAGCTGGTTATGTCTTAAATTTTTCAGGGTGCTTGATTTAAATTGCATTTTAGTAAGATACCTGAACTTGATAGCATTCATCAGTGGAGTAGCTCCTAATCGGTCTTTTGCATATACAGTTGCACCAGACTTCAACAGATGTCTGACTACCTTCAAATTGCCTTCACAGGATGCAACATGAAGTGGAGTACGACCATCATAATCACCAGAGCTCAAGTTTCCACCCTACAATAAAGTTGTTTAAAATGTATATAAAATTGTATCTGTCTTTAAAGTCTTCTTAAAATATTTACTGTATATCCATATCTTTTTCTGGTTTATCAGGAATTGGACTTATCACAAACAAGAAATGTTTCTATCACTGTATTATTCATTTGTTTAGTATTATTTCATTCATTCTCATGAACTTTAGGACCAATGGAGAAGACTTACCTAAAACTACATTCTGAATATCAATCCAGAACTTGTGTGTGGATCTTTATCCATTAATACAATTTCACGTAACAATCTAATGACTAGAAGTAATATAATATTAACAATTGGGGCAAACTATAACAAAGAGGCAAACTCACTTTTGAATTTTCCAGAACAACTGCATTATTAAGCAAATATGTGGGATGCAGGAAGAATAAGATAAGAATTTCCCATCTGCAATTGTGAAATATTAAGATTACCTGAGGGATGTACTGTTAATGGAATTTTAATTAGACTGCAAGGAGCAAAAGAGGAAGTTTGCTGCTTTCTATTCAAAAATATAAAAGTGTAGCTTTTTCTTAAACAGTTTCCAGTTTTAATCAGCTGTAACTTTGGGGTTCTTTCTAATAAATGCACAAGACTTCCTGAAATTGATTATAGATAATCTAACATGTCTGGATTTTCATTTTCCTTCTGAATCCAAATTCTGGAGACCATAACCTCTTGGGAAAACACAGTTCAAATTAACTGGTAAGCAAAAATTGTTTCACGCTCCAAAACAGTCATATAAAAAGAAATGAAATAAGAGGCAATTACCAAATCCTGTAAGACTTTTAGGGCAGTTAAGTCACCATTTTTTGCAGCCACACATGCCAAAGAAGGAGTCAAAGCATCCCTTACAGCTGTTAGTTCCTGAGAAAAAGAAATAAAAGTATTAGTTACATGTATTTCCTCTAACCACGCTTGCATATAGCTGGACTTTTTTTTATCAGAGATGCTTGTTTGGGGAATCGCTTTCTAAGCAATGCCAGCTTTCTCGCTCTAGTACACAGAGGTCTGGGGTTCAATACTGTCTGTGCAAAATGAGCATATGGACAAGATGACCCTTTTTATTTTTAAAGTTTTATGAAATTGCAGTATCCTCTCCATCAGTTCTGTACTTCAATCACTCCAGCAATCTTCAAACATATTTTTATCAAGCATTATAATTATAATATATATATTTTTAATCTATTAGAGAAGAGTTATAAAAATGAAATTAAATAAAAGACATGAATGAAAGAGCCTAATAAAAATTGCAGATTGTCTTAATGTGCTGAATATACAACTGATTAGAAGAAAACATGATGACCCTCTCTTCTAGTGTCAGAGGCAACGGTTGGTGAGCACAAACAAGAGGGGATGTATTGCACACATAAATAGGTATCTATTTCCATTCAATATCTGGTTGATCCAGTTAGGAAGAGACATCTAGACTAGATAGACTTTTGGTGTGATATAGGTGGGAAATATATCTCTTCTACTTGTTGCGTTCCAAAGCTGAACTGGGCCTGCTTCATTTGACAGTCTCATTTGACACACTTGAGCATTGGATATTGTTATCTAGGATATATTCTTTGGACATCATTGTCAATGCTCTTTATTTGTTTAAAAGGGTTTCATTTTGTTTTGTTTCCTTGTTCTTTGACAGTATTATTCACTGGATTAAAGTCCTAGGAAGGGGTTGTCCCTCAGGGATCAAATATGGGTGCTATTTTGTTTATCTTTCCCTTTGGGTGCCCTAATTATGAATCACGGTTTCCAATATCAATGTTTACATTGATGATACCGAACTCTATCAGTCTTTTATGGCTCTTGATGATGTGTAGTCAACCACCCTGAAATGTTTTATCTTCATAGAGCAGTGGTTCTCAAACTTTCTAATGCCGTGACCCCATAATATAGTTCCCCATGTTGTGGTGACCCCCAAATGGGTGTGGCCACCAATAAGAGGGAGTAGGACAGCTAGGGAAAGAGAAAAAAATGGTGGACAGCGTGGTTTGGCGACCCCCGTGAAATGGTCATTCGACCCCAAATGGGGTCCCGACCCACAGGTTGAGAACCACTGTCATAGAGCATAACAGTGCCATTTGTGCTTGTTCTGAACCTTTTATATTATTCTCACATCTTAGTACCATATAGGGTTCTTCACTGGCTGCCAAGTGAAAGCAGTCTCAAGTTTAAATTAATACTACTTTTATTTAAGGCCCTCCAGTCACAAACTCTCCAGTATCAGTCTGCTTTTATTTCCTCCTACAGTCTTCTTTGTTAGTTATGTTCCAAACAGTAGGGTCTTATTTTGGTTTCTTACTTCAGGGGTGCAGGTTCAGGTTTCGGGATGTGGTCCCATGACTTGGGGCCTGCTTCCTTCATCCCTTTATGTCTGTGGAAATCAGATACTCCTTAAAGAGGTTTAAATATTAAATTATTTCATTTGTGAGTTAATCTGCTTGTTCCACCCTATCTGACAGTTCTAGATTAGTACCTTTTAAAAATGATTATGGATGTACGTACATTCAGCTTTATTCTACGGCATTATTTTAAATCTGCTGTGGTTATATTCATCATTTTAGAGTTAATATTTGTTTATTGTACTGAAGCTAAATTCCAAGATAATGTTATTGGATTGGTTGCTATTACTTTTTAAAATGTGTACTGTTTCTTGGTAAAAGAAAGTAGTAATAGGGAAGAGAATCTTTTCACCATGGTATTTAATTTACAACTGGTTAAACTGTTCTGCAGTGTCCTCTTTGCTTAAACAAGTGCCATTTGAACAAGTACCTCTTTGCAGCTGATCAACAGATATTTTGCAATCTCTTGTATAAACTTGCAATCTTTGAGAGTTATCTGAGTTCCAATGGGCACAACAGTCATTTCTCCTCTCAGATTCTTATTCAGCATCTGCATAAAGAAAAGCAAGTCTGAAATCCAAATAAATAAATCTAAGATAACTGAAGGACCATCTACTCCAATCCGAGTTGACTATTCAGGAAGATCCTTCCAGGAGAAGTTCCTTGTGGTGCCACAGTTTGTGTGGTGATGGTGAGAATGCTGAGACTGAGTTCTAGTCAATCTGTTTGTGTATAATGAATTAAATTACAATCCCTAGATTTTATGTAACAAGGAAACTTTAAGAAATTAAGAAAGAAGAAAAAAGAGATGATGCAAAATCACACTACTCAAACTTATTTCATATTTTATACATAGTATTAAGTATAAGATTATGTGTTACCTGGTTTATTTAATGTGCACAATGTGAACACTCACAACAGCTGTTCACTTTTTATGTGTTAATGCTAATTTGAAAGATTCCTTTGCTCAAATCTTGTAGATACTATTGCCTATCTTATAATCATAAACTCAGTCATAGAAGAATAAAAATCATGTTAAATAGCTTGCTACTATTACGTTAACTAAGGCAGGAGAAGTACTAGTAGAAATATGGGAGAACGTGGGTTAAGCATAGAGAGATGGCATTATGGGCATGAAGGAACTGCCTGAATGTACACTGTGCACTGTGCTCACAACCAAGAAGTTTCAGGGGTATGTTGAAGGAAGACTAATGATACAGAAAAAATCAAATCTCCTTCTTCTGGAAAGATAGAGATAGAAGGGAGAAATGGTTTCCTGAGAAGAGGAGAGGACAACATGTTAAGAGGCCAAGAGGAGGGCTATGAAATATTAGAGATAATAAAGAATGAGACACCAAGGCATAGAAAGCCAAGTTTGCATCACGACAAGTCCTCAGAACCTTACTGAACCTTACAGAAACCTGTAGAAATGTACAAAATTTATAATACATGACAATCCCCAAGTTTCCAAGCAGGTATATAAATCTGAATCCTTAAAAGCACACAAAATGGTAAGTAATTTACATGTGTGCTGGATCTATGGACTGGATCTATCACAGACCACATGAGAAAGATATTTTGGATAGAATAAAAAAGTACTAAGATCTGTGTTTGGATGGAAATTTATGTATGATCAGGGGCCTTGATCAGTACATATATCCTGCTTCCTGACCTGCTCTTAGCAAGGTTAGTAATGTTAGAAAGGTTACTCAATCTCCTTCTTGCTAGTTCTTGCTAAGATAATAGACATGAATTAGTAGTGTTCTGATATGGATTTGGTAAGTGGGGTGTTTTCTCCTAGTTCGCTTATTTGGATTTCAAGTAGTTCTTACTTAATAATCACAATTTGGACCGGCAACTCCATCACTAATCAACATGATAGTTAAGTAAAACATCATGTAACAATGCTAGAATTACAATGTCATTTTGGCTGCAGTTGTTAATCAAATCATTCATGGTCATCAAGTATGACATCAACTTGAGACTAATGCTGGCAACTTAGTGGACCAGAGGAATGCTTTGGATATAATTTACTTGGATTTCAGTAAGGCATTTGATAAAGTAAAGCACAACCTACTACTTTATAAGATAGGAGAATGTGGGTTAAACAGAATCATCACCAGATGGATTAGTAACTGGCTGACCAACTACACTCAAAGTGTAGTCCTCAATGGAACTGCATCTACATGGAGGGAAGTATGCATTGGGGTACTCCCAATACTCTTCAACATCTTCATCAAAGATTTAGATGTGGGGATAGATGGGAAACTCATCAGATTTGCAGATGACACCAATCTGGCAGGAATAGCCAACACTCCAGAAGATAGGCTTAAGATACAGAAGGGTTTTGAAAATTGGGTGCTATCTAATAAAATGAAATTCAATGGTGAAAAAAGTAAAGTTCTACATTTAGGCAAGAAAAACCAAATGCACAGGTACAGTATAGGTGGTACGTGGCTCAACAGTAGTAACTGTGCTAGGGATCTTGGAGTCCTAGTGGACAATTACATAAATATGAGCCAGCAGTGTGCTGCAGCTACCAAAAAAGCCAACACAGTTCTAGGCTGCATTAACAGAGAGATAGAATTAAGATCATGTGAAGTATTAATACCACTTTATAATGCCTTGGTAAGGCCACATTTGGAATACTGCATCCAGTTCTGGTCACCACAATGTAAAAAAGATGTTGAGACTCTGGAAAGAGTACAGAGAAGAGTAACAAAGATGATCAGAGGACTGGAGGCTGAAACATATAAAGAACAGTTGCTGGAATTGGGTATGTCTAGTTTAATGAAGAGAAGGACTAGGGGTAACATGATAGCAGTGTTTCAATATCTCAGGGGTTGCCACAAAGAAGAGAGAATCAACCAAAGCACCTGAAGGCAGGACAAAGAAGAGATGGATCAAAACTAATCAAGGAGAGAAGCAACTTAGAACTAAAAAGAAATTCCCTACTCCAACATTGGAAGTTTTTAAGAGATTGGACAACCACTTGTCTGAAATGGTATAGGTTTCCTGCCTGAGCAGGGGGTTGGACTAGATGACCTCCAAGGTCCCTTCCAACTCTGTTATTCTGTTAACCCAACTGACTAGAGTTAAGTTCAAGGACCAGTTGTAAAACTACTTTTTCAATGCTGTTGGAAGTTCAAATGGTCACTAAACACAGCAGTCGTCAACCGAGGACTACCTGTATTGTATGAAATGACCCAAGTATGTGTGAAGTATACATATTTGTTGTGCGTGAATTAAGGTTCCATGTCAATTTGTCTCAAGAATCTAACCCTAACAAAGACAAAAGGCCACTGTCAACCACTGTGATCTGAGAGCCTTTAACCTGTAAGATGCCATAGCTGAGCCCAGTCTGGTTCTGACAATAACACTGATAATTATTTAGAAACTGAGGAAGAGGAGAGGTTCTGGGATCATATTGGGGAAAGACTTAAAACAAAATTAAAACAGTGCTGCACATACATGCAGAATGCTTGTGTAATGCAGAATTGTTCCCTGATTAGAGAGAATATGGAAATATACATGCCTAGTGATGCCTATCTATCTAGAAGCATGGCTGTACAAAGTTAAAGAAAGCAAGAGTACTGTGGGAAAGACTATCTCACTTTTAATACTGTTTAGGCATGTCTGAAAAAGAATAAAATAAAAAAAACATTGTAGGTGTGGGAATTTTTTAATTCCAAGGAATTAAAGAGAAGTTTAATTCCAGGGAAGTTAGGCCTCAATTTTTTAATATATATAAGGATTCTTCCTAAGCAACAGGATAACTTTTAGCAAGGGACATGTGTAGCTGTTCTCTCTATACCATCTTTCAACTATCATTGAGTTAGCAGCATTCCTAACACTAGTTACTAAAAACATATACATATTTTTCCCACAGTTCACCAAGTATCCATAGGTTATAGGAAACACCTTGCAGTAGAATATGTAGAATTCTATTGTTTCATGGGTAAAAAGTCTGCAGTATTTTCTTGGTTTGCTATTTTTTATGCTAAACTTTGACCTACAAGCATCTATGTACATCATAAACCACACTGTGGGCATACTGAGGAAGATTCTTTATTATAATGGGTCTCTCTCCCATTAGCAGCAGCTAAATTAAGAATAGGTAATATCTTTTTACCTATATTATACTGTACTATATTGTACTATTTTTTCACCCTCTGGGAGTTACAAGAAACATAATGAATGGGCAGCAATTAAATATTAAAGACTTTCTTTCACTATGGGATAGAACTTTTTAAAAAGTTCAGCAGGATTTTTCACTGTTTTGTCTATGAAGTTCAGCAGGCAACAACTGTTTCTGAGGATCACTCAAGAGAATGGAAGTGAACTGCTTCGCTTATTTTTTATTTTGGGGCCAAGGCTAACTTGAGATTTTTGATAGAGAAGGAGAATATTATGTCAATATCATCATCATCATCATATTTGACAGAGGATGAGAATATTATGTCAACATCATGATCATGATGATTATCATCATCGTCATCATCATCAAATTATCAATATTAACCTTGCTGTTGCTATCCAATTCCTATTTATTTTTATTAATATGAATCTTGAATGGACTTACTCATGCACACTGACTCCATTGGGTGTATTTTCACACACATTAATAATCAAACAAATTATCTCTATGTTTTGACCCTGCTTAGAGGGTTTTTTAATTTATTTTTTAAACCAACAAAACAAAACATAACACACATACACACACAGTATCCCCCCCCCCTTTTTTAACAGCGATTTCGTAACGGTAATCTTCTATTATTTACATTCCCCCCCCTTATTTTTCTTTAGGATATTTGTCTTTATTGTCCCATTGTTTCTTATTTGCATTTTTCTTCCTTTATACATATTATTATTATACACACATTTTCCACTTTTGACCTTTCCACATTTATTCTCCTCTATTATTTCTAGTCTCCAACCAATCATACCACTTGTTCCATATTAGATAGTACTCTGTGTCTTCCTTTTCTTTTATCTCTTTTGTTAATTTGTCCATCTCAGCACAGTCCAGGATTTTTCTTATCACTTCTTCCTCTGATGGTATATTCTCATTTTTCCAGAACTGTGCATATGCTATTCTTGCTGCCATTGTTATATGTAAAATTAACTACCGTATTTCTTTACTATATTTTCTGTTTAAAATACCCAGCAAAAAGATCTCTGGTTTCCAGTCTACGGGTTGGTCTATTATTTCTTCGATCCATCCTTTTATTATAGTCCAGTATTTTTTCGCAACTGGGCATGTCCACCATAAATGATAATATGTTCCATGTACTTTTTTACATTTCCAACATGTTGGCGAATTGTTCTGGAACATCTTGGCAAGCTTTGCTGGTGGAAGATGCCATCTGTAAAACATCTTCAACTGGTTTTCCTTGAATGCTGCTGACATAGTCAATTTTATGTTTATTTCCCATATTTTTCCCATTTCTCCAATTCTATATTATATCCAAAAAATTTTCCCCATCTAATCATTGTGTCTTTGACAACCTCGTCTTCCATTTTACATCTCAATAGTATTTGTATAAATTGCTAATTAATTTTATTTCTGTTCCATGTATAATTTTATTCAATTCTTGCGGCTCTTTTTGTATTTCATATAATTTTTGTCCTCTGTATATTTAGATTGAATTTGTGTAAATGTCCACCAGTCAATCTCTCTGCCTATATCTTGTTCCAATTCTTGTTTTGTTTTCAGATTTCCCCGTTCATTTACTAATTACTTGTATCTAATTATCTTATTTATATCCAGTAGGTTTGGGTATTTCAGAGCTTCTGTTGGGGATAACCACATTGGAATTCTTGTATAATGTTTTTGTTTTATTTTTTCCCACGTCTGTAGCAATGCATTCCTAACTATGTGTCTTTGAAAATATCTGTGTATTTTATATTTTTCATCCCATAGGAATGCATGCCAGCTTAGGATGTGTGTGTGTGTGTGTGTGTGTAGCTTATTTTTCTTGTGAGAACTTAGCCAGCACCAGGAGCAGGCTGTTCTTTAAAGAAAACACAGAGACTTCCCTTGGCCACAAGCTACTAGTTATGCAGTTTGTTGGATCCTATGTGCAAGAAAGGTAAGGAAAGTAGACATTTAAAAACTCAAAAGAAAAAGTCATTTTACCTTTTTCTTTTGATCAAAAGTAAGTCCAGGTTTGCTCAGGACATAGGACAACTTGGCAAGAGCAGCTTCTGGTGTCATATCCCCTCCTGGAATTACCCCAGCATCCATGAGAGTCTATATTCAATGGCATGGAAAAAAATGCAACTTGAATTAATGCACTGCTTTCTAATATAACTAGATTGAAAAACAGCTCTGGGGCAAATACAGGTAGACCTTGGCTTGCAACCACAATTGAGCCCAAAATTTCTGTTGCTCAGGAGACATGAGTTAAAGTGAGTTTTGCCCCATTTGATGACTTTTCTGGCTTCTGGCTTCCCCATTGACTTTGCTTGTCAGAAGGTTGCAAAACATGATCACATGATCCTGGGACACTGCAACCTTTATAAATGTGAACCAATTGCGAAGCATCCAAATTTTGATCATGTGATCATGGGAGATGCTGCAACGGTGTGAAAAATGGTCATAACTGACTGCTTTCAGTGCTGTTGTGACTTCAAATGGTCACTAAATGAATGGTTGTAAGTCTACCTGTACTGAGTACAGCCATCTGCTCAACCAATATTCTTCCAATGCTACAAATCTCAGGAAGAATTTTGGGGGGCCAGCTTGTTTGTGAAGGAATTAGTGAACAAAGAACCTCTCTCCATGCATTAATGAACATGCTTTCTGCTATTGCACCAATCAATACAATTTAATATTTGTTATCATTATTTACTAAGTTCTGGTAAATGTGTGAATGCCTAGAGTAAAATTTGAGTATTTAAATAAGATTTTAATTTTATTATTCCTTTGATCTAGATGTCAATATTATTTTGCTGGGTAATGAACTGTTGATAACTTATATCTTATTTTTAAAAAATTGATTTCATTTGCTTACTTCTATAGACATGGCACATTTTAAACCCAGGATTTTAAATAATAATAATAATATCTTAATTCACAATGCAAAGCTAATCAGGAATGGGGTCTGCCTGTTGAAATCATACCAATAACAAACAGGCTTTTTTGCTATAGTATACTATAAAGTAACATATTCTCAGTGTATTTGCCATGCTTTCAGCTGTTAGTTATTTTACATATATTATAGTAATACAGCAATTGGCATGTCCAGAATTGAGTTTTTGTAACAAAAAACTATCCTATTCAATCTTGAAGGAAAGCCATTGAACTTGGAATCTTCTCAAGATACATGCTAAATTAAAATAGATGAGCATGTTTGTAGAACAGTCCCACAGGGTAGTTTCACTCAAACGCAAATTGTATTCAGTATATGTCTTTCATAACCTAAGATCCCTTCTTTTTCATTACCTCAATGACAGTCTCACAACCATTTGCTAATGGCAAGCCTTTGAGCCAAAATATTTCCTGGAAAAGCAAAGCCATTTTAAAACCAAAGAAAAGCAGCTATTATAAGCAGTAAATATACAATCCTAAACCAGGCTTTTTAATTAAATACTAAAAATAAATACATAGGTCTTTGTACATGACAGTCTTTATCTTCTAAGGTGAATTAGGCATAAAAACCACAACCTTAGAAGTGATTGATGCAAGAACTAGTCATCTTTGGAATACAATGGGGGTTATAAAAAAAGAAATTAAAAAGTTCCAAGTGCCAGATCTGACATAATTCTATTAATTGGTACAACCAGTTAAACCTGGTCCTATCCTACTTTTCAAATCACATCTGCCTTGGATACAATCTGCCATCCATGCTATACCTCTTGGAGGCATACTGTCTTGGCTAACCAGGGACAATGAAGGAAAACATCTCCAAAACAAAGTTTTGACTTTCTTTTAGAGTTTACTTTTAATCCTAAAAAACTCCAATATTTTCACTCCAGTGTATTATTCCAAAATGTATATAGTAGTCCCTATAAATGGTTAGATACAAAATAATATTTCCAAATCATGTTCACACATTTCCAAAGCATGGAATTATTTTCAAATAAGGGTTCATCAAATACAAATGTTTGGCCATGTGATGCAAGCAAAAGACATCTCCAGATACTTTTCAAAAGATTAAAAGACAAACTTCAATACTGATCTCTCATTTAAAATAACTTCTTAATGGAAAAAAAAATTGAAACAATCTTTAAGAAGAATCTAATAATAAAAATGTCAAGTTTTGAAAATAATAAATATCCTAACATTCCATACTGTTTCAGAACAGCACATTTCCTTTGCTGAATATGGTCCCCATATTTTTAAAACTATTTCACTAATAATTAAAATATTAAATATTTAAAACATGAGTTAAAATACTTTAATTAAAACCTTCAAATACATTTGTTCAAATATGGGACACTGTTTGAATCAGGAACTTTATCAGTTCAGCTCTTTTTGGAAACACTGCTAAAATATGGTGCTTCAAGTCATTGCTTGGTAATAGTGCGTAAGTGGCAAACTGTAGCCCTAATGGTTCCTTCTGACTTTATTATTCCATTTGTATATTCATATTTTAAAGTCATCAACTTTGGGATTTGAATACCACTTATCAAACCTTCTGGATGGAAAATTAGGGCCTCCACCAATCTTACTAAACATCACTCTGAATAATCTAAATAAAGGTATGCTCCAAACAAGAGAAAAGGACTAGACCATGGGTGTAAAACTTACCGCATCACGTGACATGTCACAACGTATCATGACTTTTTTTGCATTGCTGGAGCTGGGGTGGGATGCGGCCTCCATATGATGCAATCAGCCTGCGGGCTGGCAGTTTGACACCCCTGGACTAGACAAATAGTAATTCCGCCCCCAAACTGATATCTATATATGTTTTTCTGAATCCAGAATGCGCCAATCAGCCCAAACCCAAGTATTATCCTGTAAATTCTGAATAAAGAATTTCCAGACACAATCTACCCTGACTTTCAGTGAGACTGCACTGCTTGGAGCTGGTTTGGACTTGCAGCTCCAGCTTGAATAGCAGGTGATGGTTGTGGCCAATGTACAATGACATCTTGTAGAGCAGTTGCAGTCATTTCTAGAACAGGAAGCTTTGCTCTTGACACTCATGTTCTTGTCACCTTGTGGCTGAAATATTGCAATGTGCTCTAGATAGCACTTCCCTTGAGAATCATTCAGAAGTTTCAGCTGGTTCAGAAGGCAGTGGCCTGAGCTATTGTTGGGAATGCCTAGCTTCAACCATATAATATCTCTACTAAGGGAGCTGTATTGGCTGCCAATCCATTTCTGAAAGCCTGGATATCTCCAAGATCCCATTCCACAAGTTGAATTTGCCCATCCAGTAAAATCCAGTGCTAAGGATGCCAACTTTGAGGAAGTATTACCTACACGGACATCTAACTGATGGCTCCAGACTTCTAGAATAGCATACCCCCAGTTATTTGGACTATGTGACCCATGTTATATTTGAAAGAGCTGTTCAAAGTGAAGATTTTGCTGCCTGATGCATCTGAGCCTTCTTGTCATTATGCTCATGTTAGTGATACTTATGTTTTAATTGTATGGAAGTCATTTGTAATCTTTGGAATGGAATGGTCTGTAAGAGAAGAAAAGCAAGTATATTTGCTAGCTAAGCATATTATTTAAATCTGCCATCTTACAAGTGCATTTAGGATCATGGGAATTATCTGAAAGTCACCAAGTTGGGAAGAGTGATTTAGATTGCAGAATTCCTCTCACCTTTCCTGTGGCATAGACTGATGACACCGATCCTCGCAGACATTGGGTGCAATTCAAAATCACAACATTGGAATCAGTAGCTTTCCTCAGCAAATCTAGTAATTCTGGACAATTATTTGGAGCATTTCCACTCCCATAGGTCTCAAGTACAATGCCTTCCATAGAGCTCTGAAGAAATGCCCTTACCTGCTTGGAAGAGGAAAACTGCATGAGAAATTACAGTGCAAGCATCCAACTCATTTGACTCATGCAATACAATTTTATTTCTTCTCAGATCAATCCAAAATGTATGAATAATCATATTAATTCTGTAATGAGGAAAATAACTAACTCAGTGTTGTCTTTTGACTGGAGTAGCATAGATCCCTTAATAAATAAAATTTCAAAAAGCAACAGAAGTGCTAAATATTAAAGATGGATGTTACAAACACACATGTGTATATAAACGCACACTCTCACATTGATGCAAACCCTTGTACAAGAATCGATGGTTTATAGTATGTCACACTATTGGTATGGCTGGCTAGAGTTTCTGAATGTTTCTAGGCTAATCAAGGGTGGAGAAAAGTATAGCTAATATATACAGCACTGCCCTGTGTACAAAGAAATGTTAAATAAGCAAAGACAGGCTATACTCAAAAATGAGAAAAATATGATGATTCAGAAAGATGCAAGTAATCTGCCTATTTTAATTATGTGTTAAAATAATCTACTTAAATAAGAACATTAATATATGACTCCAGAGTGAACAGCTTGCGTTTACTTTTGCACTTAGAATTATAGATTTCTAATACAGACCTTGAAGGCCATCTGCTAGGATAGCCTGGTTCTAATCACTAAACCTTAATTACACAATGCTGGAAGATATGCTACTTGAAGTCTGACACAGTAGAAGAAGATGAAAGAGTAAAATGTAACAGTGTTATAGCAGAAAATTAGGACACCTTTCCTTTGTTTAATGTACGTTTGCAGACTAGCCTCATTTCCTAGCTAGAGCAGCACAATTGTGAATGGGACTGAAGCTATATGAGGGGCAGTTGGTAGGGTACAAGAACTGTAGCCCTAGTCTTCAGCTGGAGGTGGAGCCAGGTTTAGACATGGTGAGGCCCCAAGCTATGAGAAGTTGTAGAAGTTCTACCTGACAAGTACCAGCAGAGAATAAAGCTGTGTAACAACTGAACTTGGCAAGACTGCTGCCAAGATGCATAACAAACCTGTGGTGGGGTGGGGATGGGTCCTCTTTGAACAAAAGGTGTTAGTGCATGCAGAAACAAAGCATGCATTAATCAATTAGTGAGTGCCATGTGGCCATACTGAAATGCTTAATTTAATTTCCTATATTTAAAAAAAAATCTGAAATTTTAAGAGGCCTCTAAAGACTGTGAAACCTAAGTTACAGCATCTTTGTGTTATGTCTAAATTTTGAACTTTCTGTTCAATGTAAGCCTCTGTTTTCATCATGAAGAAAAAAAGAATTTAACAACCAATTAGCAAGTGAATGGAATCCATTTTATCATTACTGTCATCTAAAAGTTTTCATTCTGCTATATTTGTGAATAAAAAGCATGCATAAATTAATAGATCCTGTGTGCAAAATGGTGGCCCCAATAGATGAAGCAAAAAAAAAATGGCCATTTTTTTCAGGCTCTTTAGGTGTTATTAGGGAGGTTATTAAGGAGCAAAATAGGCACTATAAACCTTGCAAAAATTTAAGGCCCCTATACTCTGTAAAAGCTGCAGTGCTCAAACAATTGCTAGACTTCAAACTGTCTATTTTGATTCCATCTATTTTGCCAATTGCTGTCAATCCCATATTATATTCACTATTTAAGATAAATAGAATATACAGCTTTGTGTTTTTCATTTCCCTATTCATCACCACTCTGTTTCTCCACACCCAGTGCTTGCTATTGCTTCTTGTTCATTGTAAACGTTTCTCAAAAGAACGATCAGTTACCCTTTTAAACCCCAACATATATTAAGACTAATCAATGGTCTTGCTATACAGTAATCAGTGTAGAAATATAGAATTCTTCTTGTATTTTTCTTGTTCAGTCCATTTTTTGTGCTACATTAATAATCTGACCTTGGGTTCTTTCCTGAAACCTGTTTATTTGTCATTCCAGTTTTCATGGACTGTATGGTTCTGTTCTTTGTAGATCCATAAGCTAGACTTTGATTGTGCAAGCAAATAGTGCAATGCTTTAATTTGCATATTCTCTTACATCTCTCTTCTTTGGGATACAATAAGGATATACAGCAAACATTTCCAGTCTCTAGCTTAGCAATCTTGTTTCTTACTTTTTGACATGGAGCTGTTTTGATTTTAACTATATCTTATCCTCTAGCTCAGTGGTTCTCAACCTTTTTAATGCCGCGACCCCCAACCGGTCATAAGTCGAGGACTACTCAACCGGTCGTAAGTCGAGGACTACTCAACTGGTGCAGCACCGTTTGCAGAATGGGACTTTTGGCGGGCTCAGCAGGGCAGAGACAGCCTGGACAATTCCTATTGGCTTTTGAAAGCCAATAGAATTAGACTCTATTCAAGAGAGTCTATTCTATTGGCTTTCAAAAGCCAATAGAATAAAAGGGAGTAGCACAGCCAAGGAAAGGGGGGGAAAAATGGCGGACTGCGTTGTTTGGCGACCCCCATGAAATGGTCGTTCGACCCCAAATGGGGTCCCGACCCACAGGTTGAGAACCACTGCTCTAGCTTTAAACAGTTACATAGATATTTCATATGCATCCAGTGCTTTTCTACCTGACAACTGTTTTATTGTAGCCCACTTTCTAATGGAATTGATTTCTGAACATATATTCTCTCTGCAAATATTATCTCTAAGTCACATCTGTAAAGGGTTTCAATATACTTCGTCTTTTTTTAACCTCATTTACATGAATCAAATCTTTTCCATGATAACTCATGAATGTTGTCGTTGTTGTTAATTGCGAAGTCGTGTCCGACCCATCGCGACCCCATGGACAACCTTCCTCCAGGCCTTCCTGTCCTAACTCATGAATAATCCTATCTTAATATAAATTTTCTTTTCTTCTTCTCTGATCTTCCAAAAGTTTCATTTCTTTCATATCATTTTCTCCAATTCTTAATTAAGACATTTGTCTGTATGATTTCTTACTTTAACAGTGAAAATCTTCATTTAATCATTTCCCAATTGAATCTGTCACATAACTAAATGGGCTTTCATTTCTAGACATTCCTAAAGCTACATTTGGTCCAGAATCCAACAGCGCAAGCATTTATGGATTCCTCTCACTATGCCCATGTGACACCACTACAGTAGTCCTCATTTAAATAGTAATTGGGGCCATATTTCTATCAATAAGAGATATGGTCATAAAGTTCGACACTATGTCACCGTGCCATTTAGCAATGGCAATTTTGGCAGTCCTGGTTTATTAAGAAAGGACCTGATGTAAGTGTAACTTCTGGCTTCCCGCCATCTTCCCCAATGACTTTGCTTGTGGTTGCCAATGTGACTGCAGAATATCCAAAACTTTGAGGATCAATCTTAAGTACCATTCATTCAATTCCATTGCAAGTTTGAATGGTTGTTGAATGAGTATTCTTAACCAAGGACCATATGCACTCTACAAACCACACTGGTTCCCCATTAGATTCTGGCTACAATTCAAGATGCTGCTTATCATCTTTAAAGTTCTTCATGGCATAGGACCAGTATACTTGTGGGGCCATCTTCTAATCAAGGTATATGTCTGCCCCATATGCACTCTGGATCCATTAACTGAAATAATGTTATTGTGTGGGACCCAGGAAATGGACCTTTATAGTGGCAACTCTTATTTTATGGAACAGCCTTTCTCCCACCATATACTTGGCCTTGACTTTGCTGTCAAGACAGGTTGTTTCTCTGGAATCATGATATGTTCGATTAGATGATGGTATTATCATAAAACCATTTTATTGTTTTATTATTGTCAGTTTATAATCTATGGTTTTATGTTCTCCTTATTAGGTTTTGTTGAATTTTGCGAGCTGGACAAAAACACTTTGGTTGAGTTAGATGGCCACATAAATATATTAAATAATTTTTAAGTAGATATGCCCTTTTTCCCAAGGCTTTAATTATCTGTATTTACTAGTTGTTCTGCAAATAATTTTGATCCCTGGCATATTAGAAAATGTATTTAACTAGTCCTGGAAGCCAAATTTAGGCTATGAATTAGCAGCTTTAATTTTATAATTGCCCAGGTAGCATTCTCATATTATTATATATAGCCTAATATCTACTAGGGTCAACTAAGCAAGCAAAACTGGGAGATCTCAATATAGAGCAAGGTAGACAAGCTCCATCTGAACCAAAATGGAACTAGGCTGCTGGCATATTATTAAAAAAAAGCTGTAGAGCAGCTTTTCCACTGATCCCTAAGGAAAAATCAACAGATAGGAAGCAGCATCCAGGGTGGAAGGGTATACAATTTTTAGAAAATAATATAAGGAATAGGGACAGTATTGTGAGTTAATCAGCGGACATGACAGTCAGGAAACAAAAAGGCAAGATATGCAAAGGGATCTAGTGTATAGCATAGGTGTTTCCGTGCCAATGCTAGAAGTGTCCAAGCCAAGAATGGAAAATTAGAGTACTTTGTTGCAAACAAGGTCATAAATACTTATGTATAATATAACATAAACCTGATGGAATGAAGAGAATTAATGGACTAAAATAATTCCTAGCTATAAAACTTATATAAAAAACAAAAGATATGGAACATATATCTGAAGCTGTATTGGCTTTTTCAGGGAAATGATCAGGATAAATAAAGCAAACTGGGGAAAAAAGGGGAAATATTCTAGGATATCTTAAGTGGTTAGAGTAACAAATCTCTGTTGATGGGATCCATCCAAGAATTCTTCTTTACCAATCTTCTAGAGTTCTGTGGGATTGTAAATGGCACATGCAAGGCTCTGTCAACACTGTGTACTTGGATTTTTAAGGAACTCTCAGAATGACCTATACAGTCTATCTTTCTTCACACTGTCAGACAGAGAGATATGTATTTTATATCATGTCCTAATGTGCAGGATTTAATGTGACTTCCACCCTCTATTTTTATTCAGTATATCCTCTATGGTATTTTTCAGTTACATTGACCACCAGTAGGTACAATGTTCCTCACCAAATACTGTTGAGTAAACACAGTGGTCAAGAGATCAGAAGACTTGTCTTTGAATGACTAAAAAACAGAAAGCAAAGCATAGGAATAAGCCATTTTATCAACAAAAAATATCCTGATTTAAGAGTAAGGAATAAACTGGCCAAGTTTGCGGATGATATAAAATTATTCAGAGTAATGACATAGAAAATGATTTTGAAAAGCTTAAAAAGGTTTTTTTTAAAAAAAAAAACCTTGATGAATGATCAACCAAATGACTATAGAGGTTCAGTTTAACTAAGTGTGAAATGTTGCACATTGGGCAACAAGCTGTAATACCTAATTTATGCGCTGATAGGGTTTGAGCTATCTGCAACAAACCAAGGAACGGATCTTAAACACATCTTGTGATTAGCTCAGTGAAGATGCTGACAGTATACAACTATGAAAAAATTAAATTCTATGCTAGAGATCATTAGGAAAGCAATTGAGAATAAGACTACCAAATTTGTAATGGCTTTATACAAATCTATGCTACATCCTCATTTGTACTACTATGTACAATTCTGGTCACCCCATTTGAAAGAGAATACACAGAGTTAGAAAAAGTGCAGAAAATGATTATCAAAACAAATAGCAGACTCAAACATTTTCTTTAGTTTGGAAAACTAGTGAGTGAGACATATAAAACATGCATGGCATGGAGAAATGGGCATGGAGATTTTTTTTCCTCCTTTTTAAAATATGAAAATTGGGGCTTATATAATAATGCTGATCAGGAGGAAATTTAGAAGAGTCAAAAAAAAAAGCTCTTTAAATAGAGCATTTTTATTACCAAAAGATGCACTAATGATTCCTAACGTGGATGTCTTTAAAAGAGAAAAGGATAAACTTGATCAGCTCCTCCACTTTATTAGCTATTTGGAAATTACTTAAAACAAAGTTATTTGAGAGAGCTTTTGAATTACAAATGTCATCATCTCTTTATTGGTTGAGGTTGAGGTGTGGTTTTGCTGATTTTTAAGCTCTTATATCATAGCTTGCCTATTTTTTATTTTGATTTAATTAAATCAAAATGTTTTATCTGATTTTATCCTGTGGTTGTTTTAGAAACATTTGGTGAACCTGCCTAGAGTTTTTTTGATTATTGTGGGAAGAATATGTAAAAATAAATAAATAGGTACATGAAGATCAGGCCCATCTTGAAGATGGAAGCCTGGAAGACCAATTCTGCTTCTGGACCAGAAGAAGCATGCCTCCAAATACATGCCTCAGGCATACAATGGCAGTCAGGGCAGAGATATGTCCAACTTCGGCATCCTCAGTGTCATTTTTGTGAGAGAAAACCACAGTATAAAGGGCTCAGCCTACTTTTCCAATGCAACTTACCCTTTTCATACTTCAACAATCTAAAGCCATAAATAATATAAAAGTGTTTCTCAAGTGTCAAAAATTCAGAAGATTCTTTTGGCCACAGAAGCCCCCAAAATCTGGTAACTTCCTATTACAAATATTAACATAACGGTGTTCTTGGAAGTGTTGACCGCATCTAAGCATGTATTCAAAGATAATTAGTTCAATACTAATTCTCTGAGAGTATTTAAATACCAGCAATGAACCTGGGTAATACCAAGTATCTTTTCTCATTGAATATTAATTATATGGAATCAACACTTCAAACTTGCTCTGAGATGTTCTGAGGAAGTGGGAGGCTGACCGCTGTAGCAGTAATTCCAGGGAAGAGTCTCAATAGTCCAACGTTGCTGTTCATGTTCATATGGATCTCAAATTTCTTCATAGTATTAGCTCTCCATATTGTCTCCCAATTGACTATGGAAAAAACACACCCACAAAAAAAATTCATTCATCCAAGCAATAGTCTTTCCTATTGTGTTCAAAATCTGCCTTACAGGAAATCTGATTAATATCTACACAAAAATAACTAGCACCTTATATATACAAGAGATCATACATAAGACTAGAGTCACTCCAAGAGTGAGATGAGCAGCACATAAATTTAATAAATAATACATAAATAAAATCTAGTATCTTACAATTGAGCTTTCAGTCACACAGCAAGGTATTTTTTTCCCTCTCTTCTGACATTCTCTATGGCCCTGCAAATCTACTTTGCACCCTCCCATTCCCTTCCCATTTTTTTCTCTAGCAAATATTGAGCATTCATCGTAGGTGGGATTTTATCTTCATTCTACCAATGAAACCCATTCCATCAATAAAAGTGGGTAATTTAATACAGTTCAGGCTTCATTCATCTGGAAAAGAAAAGTAAGTGCAACATTCTAAATTTTCTTGCATTCATCTCTTGTAAACCTCCTTTTCTTCTCATAGGTAGGTATCATCTAAAATTTACAGTGTAACCCAATGGGGAGAGAATTTGCCTTATATTATTCTGTAAAGTGCTGTGAATATTAGTAGCACAGCACAACTTTTACATAACGGAAAATAATTTCCTTGTGTTCTGCCCAGTTATACATTAAATCCAATACTGGATCCTGTTCTGGACTTAATTTCTCCTAGGAATTTCAGGTTTCAGAAGGCCAATAAGAGATCATATGTATGCACTTTTTAATAATAACAGCAGCCATAATAATGTGAAATACTACTAATCTTTACTTTATATGTTTTCAAAGAAAAGAGGAGAAAATATTTTAAAGCCCAAGCATGGTATTTTTTATTTATTTAATCATAAATATTAAACGCCATTCTTTATTTCAAAGAATAGTGCAAAATTAAAATGAAGAACTATTTTAAAAGCATAACATACAGTTAGAAGATCCTGTGAAATTTAACATTCTGAATTCTGCAAAAAATAAATAAATAACTGATAAACAGAACAGGAGGGAGCTAACAGAGGTAGTTCATGGATATTAAAGAACAATTTTATCAGTGCAATGATTTAAAATCTTATTCTTTATCTATTTTTGCTCAGTAATCAGGGAAAATAGGCATATTCTGAGTGGTAGAAAGTGGATTGCCATTATCATCCCTGGAAATGAAGTATCCAAAAATTGATCTGGAGAAACACTATGCAATGCATTCTGGTTAATGCACAAAAGTCTCACCCAATTAGAACTGGAGAAGCCATTGGATTTTTGCACCACACCTGTTTATAACAACCCAAGTTGAAAACCAATATGTCAACACATTCCAAATTGTCTGAATAATAATGTTCAAGTGCTCTGTTATTACAAAGATGTGAAGATGCTTAAACTTAATTGATATATTCTGCTTCTCTAATTCCAGTTTCATTTTACATACCCAGGGCAACAATACCAACATGTGCCTGGGGGGAAGAGTGGAGCAAAGCAAGGCCACCTTGCCAGCCGTCTGCGATGTGACACATATTTCACACGTCTTTAAAAGACAGATGTTGTTACTCTTACCACTAAACATCTACAGAGTTTATAATGTAGTTACTAGTGATTAAATAAAATGGCAATGATTCAATTAAGTGTGATTATACATTGCAAGCCAGATGCCAGCTGTTTAACTAATAGTCATGCTTCAATTCCATTGCTGAAATGCCAAAACATTCATTATTAATTCTGAGAATTCTCACTATCCCTGTCTAGCAGACGATGAAATGTAAGCAAGATTTGAAGAAAGCTGCATCCACAAAATGCACATTCGTGGACTATACAAGATAATACTTAGTTAAGAAGTCTGGTGAAGCAGACTTTGTTTGCACTGTATTATATATTTTATGAAGCACCTAGGATGGAAAATTGCATAGGGTCATTACATACCTATAAATAAATGAAAAATTAAATAAAAATGAGCATTAAAAATAAAAAAATAACACAAACAGAGATTGTTGATGGCCAAATCAGAACGTTCCTCTAGAGAACAGAGATGTCCTAAAATGATATTTTCTGTCACAGTTGCACTGGCAGTACCTTATCTATGCAGTGAATATTTAAAAATCTTGTTATCTTTAACTTCAAGGAACTATTTGAATTAGGTCTCTTCAAAAGATTTCAGGTGAGGATACAAGTCTTACAACTGCTGGAATGTGACTCAGAAGAGATACTAAGGCAATTAAAAGTAGCACAGAAGTCTGTATTTCAGCAAGTTTCTGTTATCAAGTTAAGCCCTATAATGGAAAAAACAAGACCTGATTTCAGTTTTGAAAGCACAAGATACAGCATCGTAATTCATGAAAGTATCATTACATCTGACTCAAATGTTTGCAGCAATTGTAGATTAATTTGTCTTCTGGCATTAGTGTGGCTGGCATCAACTTTCCCTGAAAGACTTTCTTTCTCAGAAGATGTGAAAAAAATATTGCCAAGTTCTCCTTCTGAATGTGTCTGATTTAGTGTTAGAAACTGTGTGTGTATTTAATACTTGGAAATAATCAGAAACACCATTTTTGAAATGACATACATTAGCCATATTCACTTCGAATGAAAATACACAAGATGACAAGACGAAGACACACAATTGGGAGAAGCCATGGCAATGAATTTTTTCATATCTGTTTCTGAACTTGAATGTAACCAATTACTTCCATTTCTTTCATTCATTCATTCATCTGCTGAATTTATATCTCATCTTAACTCAAGGGGACTTACAAAGGGGGTCTCATAATTTTATCCTTAAAATAAAGATAAATACATAAATAATACATAATAAAATTTGTGAGGTAGGTTGGCTTGACAGTGAATATAATTCCTTAGTAAATTCAGTGGTTGAGTGGGTTTTTACAACTGGGCTCTCCATCTGGTTGCAATACCTTAACCATTACTTTACATTGGATTCATTCCAGTACAAAAAAGAGAGGGGGATTATACCAGCAATAAAGATTTTTTTAATCCATAGAACAGTACTCTACAGGTTTTGGGCCATCCTACCTCAAAAGCCCCCCCCCCCAATCATGCCACCAAATCTTTGTGGCAATCTACAAAGAAAACATAGTTTTCTTCAAATGGAGAAACAAACCCAGCATATATTCTAGCAATGGCAACTCTACTAACAGGTGCTGTTTCTTCTAGTAGTTGTTGTCAGTGCTTGGACATAAACAAGAGATAATAGTTGAAGCAACTCAAGACATCTTTTCATTAGCAAAAGATATATTTGAAAACAGGAAAAAATGATTCCTTAATATCTATGGATATTTTAAATCATTTGTGTCATGATTGTCTCAAAGGTGCTTTTTCCAAAAAGCAATTGGACTTTCTTGATTCTTTTGTTTGAAAACATTTCGCTTCTCATCCAAGAAGCTTCTTCAGTGCATGATTCCTTACTTCAATCTAAGCTATAAAACTTAGATGAATCCATTCAAAGTTGCAGTGTTCGATTCCAAAATACTAGAGTAAGATCTGGGTAAATGTTCTCCTTAAGAATGATCAATGTGCTTATTATATCTCTTGAGTCCTTTTCAGACTTGGAAGAAGCATTATTGAGTGGTCTAGGCCATACTTGCCTCACCCAGTAACCCGATGGCTAGGGAATGTGGCTGTTGTAGTCCAGCACATTAAGAAGTATCAATTCTGGAAGACTTGTCACTGGCCCAATTGAGCACTCCAAATAAAACTATACTAGTGGGCTGGAATGAACATGGTTTTTTCAAAAGCCAACAAAGGCCCAACATACACCTACACACATTAATGACATGCAATCTGACATCTTAATTATATTGCATTTGAGATAATGTTATAACATCATGGCATTTCTGTTTTGATTTAGATCTGTGATACAAGCCACTTCATGTTGCACTCAACAAATGATGAAATGTAGATGTGGACATTAATACTTACACAAGCTGTTTGCCTTTTAGCTTTTTCTTCTTGTATTTTTTAGTCACCTGAGAATTATTATATAGTACAATAAGGGATTAGAAAGCTGTATCAGGCCTGTAGAGTTTGGGAACATTTTCCATCAAGAATATGCTTCTTCCTTAAATCAACTACCACCATTTGGAGTATAGGATGGCTTAATAACAGAATCATGCTTAGAATATTAACCTTCCAGATGTTAAAATAAACTTTAAATATTATTAAATATAAACATTTTGAAAATATTGTGATATTCTCAGTATCAGATGAGCTGATCTCTCAAGTTTCCATGTCCACAGCCATTTTTAGAAATTCATAGATGTTACTACCTTAAGTAGTAGTAAGTATACTATTGTAGTATATTATTGGCAGCCAGAGTAGTGTTTGAAGAGAAGGAGTAAAATTCTGAGTCCCCATACTACCTTGACTGCCATATATAAGATGGCAGCCGAACATAGAGTACACTGCAACAATCTAATTAAGAGATTGCTAGTGTGTGTATTACTGATGTGCAGCTATCTACACTCAGAAATGGACAAAGTTGACTAGTTGTGCATGCTGGATACTGAGGTCACTGTGCCTCCAGTGAAAATTAGGCTTGCAAAATGTTTTTTATAGGAGAGTATCATCCTATTGGATTTAAAGCCAATTCCTAAAAATAAGAACCAGTTAGCCAGAGAATTTCACTTTTATTCTATCAGTCTTCATCCATTCCATCACAACGTGAAATCACTGATACATAGTTCCAATGCTACTGCTGGTTCCTTCAGGAGAGGCTGGTCGACTATTATCTATTTACTGATGAAACTTCACTCCAAATGCCTGAATGACTTCTACTAGCAGCTTCATATAGATATTCAAGAATACCAGGCAAGATGAACCTTGTGGAAGTACACACCACAACTGTTACAAGGCTTTACAAAAGTCACCCCACCACTAACTATTTAGAAACAGCACCACTGGTAGGAATGGAACCACTATGAAACAATGCCTTCAATTTTCAACTCACAGAGATGCCTCAGTATGATTCTA